GTGAACCATCTGCCTTTTGCTGGTTGAGAGAATGGTTGCTTCTTGAAAACACTGAAGTGTTGGACAATGGCAGGCGAAGTTGATGGACTATATGGAATTGGCGAAAATGACTGGCAGGATCCGAGACCAGGGTGAAGAGTCGGTGGAAGAAGATTGGAAAAAGTTTAAAGACTATAGAAATATTGTAAAATTAAGGAATGTTAGAAAAATGTTGGAATGAAATTACATGGCTTTAGTAGAAATGTCATAAGGAATTAAGTATAAATAGATTAATAGAAAGTTAAAGGAAAAGTATGGCAAGAATGTGTTAAGATAATTATAGAACAGAAAACAGAGTAAGATGGAAAGGAATTGCTGAAACAAATGATAGAAGTGGAATACGAAAAGGGAGGTGTGAGGAGGTGGCTGGAAATAAGTGAATGAAATAGAAGATATTGAAAATGTTTCAGATGTTTTTAAATTGTTTTTGTTTGTTTTTGCTTGATTTGTTAGTCCATCTAGCGTTTCTGTATTGTATTCATATTGGTGTTTTTTTCTTGTTTTTTTTCCTTTTTCTTTTTGTTTGAAGTGTTGTGCTGGAAATTTTGAAAAAGTAATAAATATCATTTTTTAAAAAAAGAGAGAGCCCATAAACTGAGTAATGAAACATAGATATGAACAGGGAATTTAAAGGGGACAGCATAATGAAATATAGGAACTCTCTGTCCTGAGCAACACCTCCCATAATCCACTGATCCATCATGGAGCAGAGCAGGCGGAGAGGACTATGAAGTCTTCCTGGTCCTGTGCTTTCCTCACCTCTATTACCAGTGGCTTTTAGGAAGTTCCTGCACAAGCAGAAGCCATTTGCCAGGAGGAGTGGAGAGAGCTATCGGAAGGGTGAGGACATCATTTCCAGACCAAAGACCAGGACCGTACAATTTGCTTTAGAACAGGGTTTGACAAACTGTCACTCTTCAGCCACATGCGGGTCCTCAGCCTAATTGCCACAAGTCCTCAGGCAGGGAGTTCAGACTTCCAGCAAAAGTGATGTTTCCTTCTCATGGGAAACCACAAGACATGGAGGAAATGGGGAGGGAGGGCAACACATACAAAAGAGGGTGTCAGAGAGAGGGAAAAGAAGGTGTCTTGTATCTTGATAACTGTAGCTCCACTGTATGTGTGGATTAGTTTTCTCAAAGAGAGAGTTACAATTCCCTCATCAATCTGCTGTTCACAAAAGCATTCAGGTGAAGCCATGACAGTTCACTTGGTAGAAATCTGATATATCTTTGTAGTCTAAATATATCCACAGAATACCAGAACTGCTGAAGTTCACCTTCAGCTTCATAGTACCCTTCAAAACTTAACAGGAAGCCACACTGTGAGGTCTGTTAGAGACCTGCAAAGACCTGTTGGAGGATACAAACAATCATGCAGAAGAAAGGCCAGTGTAGAGCTGCCAAGTCTTTAAAAATGTTTATGAGGAGTGGGGAGATGGTGGCATGAGGCAAGCTCTTCCTATCCGGATGCAGCCATGACTATCCCTATGAGCCAAAATAATGGGCCAAGATATACCACACTTGGTGCCTTTAGGTTTGGAAGATCAGCAAGCACCACTTCAGCGAATGAAAGCAATATTGCCCACTACTTTTGTTTGAATGGAAGGCACTTAGGGACACTTAGAGACATCAACAAAGGTCCGTATAGTTAAAGCTATGGTTTTCCCACTAGTGATGTATGGAAGTGAGAGCTGGACCACAAACAAGGCTGATTGCCGAAGAATAGATGCTTTTTAATTATGGTGCTGGAGGAGACTCTTGAGAGTCCCATGGACTGCAAGAAGATCAAACCGATCCATTCTGAAGGAAATCAACCCTGAGTGCTCACTGGAAGGACAGATCCTGAAGCTGAAGCTCCAATACTTTGGCCAACTCATGAGAAGAGAAGACTCCCTGGAAAAGACCCTGATGTTGGGAAAGATGGAGGGCACAAGGAGAAGGGGACGGCAGAGGACGAGGTGGTTGGATAGTGTTCTCGAAGCTACTAACATGAGCTGACCAAACTGCAGGAGGCAGTGGAAGACAGGAGGGCCTGGCGCGCTCTGGTCCATGGGGTCACGAAAAGTCGGGCACGACTAAACAACAGCAGCAGCACTTTTGTTTGAATGGAAGGCAGTTACGGACACATCCAGAAAAGGAAGCAGACCTGAAAAACATAGTGCCTACTCGGGATGAAAAGCATTCCAACGGAACAACAGCAAGAGCTGCAACAGCTTTAGTGAATGCTTTGAAGGAAGAAATGCCTCTGCAACTGATGTCTAAACAGAAGCATATGAATATATGGATGGACATTCTGGAAGCAAAGTTTGGGATTTAAAAACAAAGGTGGAGGATAATGAAACAATGATCCATTCACATCAGAAATCTGTTTGTGCAATGGGACTTTTCGTTTCTTTTCTTCCTCTGCCAGCTCCTCATCCCCCCCTAAAAATCTGATCTGGAGGGTTCCCCAACCCTTTGGAGCACCTTTTGAGGTTCTGCAGGGGATGCAAAGGGAGGAAAGGAAGTCCCATTGCTCAAGGGAGTGTTCTACACTCGAGTACATCCATGACCTTTAATTTCTAAAACAGATTATTGACTCTAGAAAACTGGCTAATCCAAATACCAAAGCTAGCTGCTGAAACTAACTGCTGCTTGAAGGCAAGCACTGAAACAAATTGCTGAACTGTCCATTTCACCATTTTTTTGCTGAAATGAATCATTCATTGAAATGAATTTTTATCAGCTTAATCTGATACACTATAACCTTACAGGGCTGGAGGTAGTCTTGTGTCCATTATCCATGATCTTCCTGTTAGATTAACTGAAGTGAGTTATGCGTGGGGTGACTTTGAAAACAGTACAGAAATTTCCGCATGGGGTATCAAGGCTCTTAAAGGGCTTGTGGACAATTTCACTATATTGCACTAGTGATTTATTGTCTACTCCTTAAATGGCCTGGGAGCAGCTTACCTCAAGGATCACCTCCTCCCAGGTCTACTTACCTGGACCCCGATATCATCATCAGAGGCTCACTTCCAGTACTCCTGGATACAGGGTCTTATAGGTGGTGACAGCCTAGTTATGAAATGCCTTCCCTGGAAAGGCCCACCTGGTGCCATCTTTGTGGTCTTTATTGTCTGAAGTTTTAAAACTGAACCTTTGAATTCACAGGGTTTTAGATGTGTGCTGTATGTTTTTTAGTGATGTTGTATATTCATCTTTATATTGTCTTATGCTTTGCTATTGAAACTGTTGCTATTTAAAGCTGGACTGTGGTGGCTGCTTCTATTGAGATATATTTTATTGATTAAATCTGTTTACCCAGAGCAACACAAACTGACTTACAACCAGCCATTAGTGCACTTTAGGAAGCAATCCTATGTTTCTTAGAGGGCATTGCCATGTCCCAGTTCTCTTTTGGCAACATCTCTTTATTTCACTTTAGTAAGCTGTTGTGCACACTTCAGGCTTGCTGCATTCTGAGGCCTTTTCCTCCTCTTAGCCAGGTGACCTCTGCATTTTCCTAGGGCTGAGCACTATGGGAAGCAGCTCCTCCTAACCCACTTCTGTCTGCCATGACCACAAGAGGTGAATGTCTCACCTTGTCAAACCTATTTTGCTCACACACACTCTGACACACATGTTGCCTGTATCTCCTCTTCCTGCTCCTCTCACAGCTGATAAGAAGGGACACACTCTGCCAAGAGGGTGGCAGTCTAGGTCACTCAGCTACAACAGCCGTTCACCAGTGCAGCAAACGGAAGAGGGAAAACTTCTATTCTGGCCACCTGAGCATTTGGGACCACAGATGTGATCATGGATCCACTACTCCACTGCTCTCTAACCACAGTTTTGATTGCTGTCCTTCAGGACTCAGAAGAAAATAACATATCCATTCATCAAGCCCTATATGACAGGAGCAGGAAGCGATTCTGCCCCAAGGGGTAGATCGGAATGTGGCCAATCTTCCATGGGTGGATGGGGCCAAAAGCAGAATAAAAATCCAAATAAATAAATAGAAATAGAAAATAAATAAAATCCACAGGCACACACATAGAGAGAGAAAGAGGCAGGCAGACAAGTATACATACACACATTCAGAAAGCCAGAGATCCCTTTCCCTAACCTTTAAGAATAAAAAACAGCTTTTTACTCTCCAAGAGCAAGCAGAGTCTTTTCTCTGGTTTCAGCATTGTGCAAAGATTGAAGGTAAGTGAAATGCTGCCTGTACTTTAAGAGTAAAGGCATTTGCAACCTCCTCCACCACACTCCTGGAGTAGGAATATGTATAAATGTTGCCTTCTACTCTCAGATAACAGCCTGAGGCTTATCTCTGAGCTGAGCACTGTCGGGCAGAGTGCTAAAATTCGGGATAAGAATCTGCTTGCACTTTGAGCTCTTGGTGGTGCTTGGTGACAGGGGTGCCGACTTGAATACAATATGGGGGGAGGCAGGTAAGCTCCACCCCACATAATTGATCACATGATGCATACCATTAGAATGGCAGTGCCCATCAACTTGGGGGGGGAGTGAACCCCTTAAATAGTTCATGGGAGAGGTGAAGGGACCTCGGCCCTTAGGAGCTGACTGCTATGCTTGGTGCCCAGATTCCTTCAAATCCTCAAATCTTACCGCATGGTGCTTAGATCAGACATAAGAGATCTCTGTGCCTAAGATGGCTGGTGATTGCCAAGTGGGTGCGATTTGTTCAAAGCAACCTCATGGGACAAACTGAGAGGCTGGTGGGCCTGGCAAGATCAATGGGCTAAAGATATCACACTACGGGTCTAGGATGGTTCCCTCTTTAACATTGCATTGGCCTCCGATCCAAAACCGATTCATGCAGGCTTAAGGAATTGAGATCAGGAAGGGACAAAGCTCCAAAAGGTACACACAACTCTTTGGTTATGATTTATTGTTGGTTAAGTTTCATGCCAACAAACCATTGGAACACAGGCAGGATGAAGCCCAGGTGGTTCAGTCACAGCAGAAGAACCTGACATCATTAAGTGCTGTGTTATCACCTAGAGCTAGAGCTAGAGCCTCCACCTTTGTTTGGATCCCACAGATGGCACCAGCGGTGCAGCGCTTGCTCCAGCGGCCATAAGTACCGAAGTCGGTGGACCTGCCCTCCAGTGCAGTCCCATCTCCACAGTTGAACTGGATGTTGTTGGCTGCCGTATCATCACCTGGCCCTTGTGGGGCTTCCACATTCAGAGCGAAGGCAACCAGGTAGCCCTTGGGGCATTCCGTAATCTTTGTCCACTTTCCCAACCTGGAAAAAGAAAAAAAGACAATATGGTAATGTCTGCCTCTCTGGAAATATGACCCAAATTGGAATGATTTGCTTTCCAACACGAAAGTCAAGAGGGCAGTTGCCTCCTCAGATTTTTAAAAGGCATCTTTTGCAGACCTCATCAGGTATAGAGTGTCTACCAAACCTCAACTTCTAAGTAGGGCTGTGTGTTGTGACCCCTGGAGTAGGTGGATCTGCCCTGTGCCACCCGGGGTCCACCCACACCACACCCTCCCAATCTGGCCCTGGAAGATGGAGCTAAAGAATGTTTAAAGGGGTTTCAAACCCCAATCTTCTGTTAAGAATGGGGTTGTTTTGTAAGGTCAGGGTACATCGGTGCCACATAGCATTTGCTGCTCTTGCCTAATAGATGCTAAGCAGAACGGCCTGATTCTGTGTGGTGCTGCTGCTTCTTCATGCAGTCCAGTGACCAGCACCATGCAGGATGGAATCCACTAAGTTAAGTGGTAACAACTTTCCTGCAAGAAAAGCAAAGCAGCACCTGCACCCCATAGGATCAAGGTCTCTGCTAAACAGCTGTTGAGTAGAGACATTGATCTTTTAAGCCAGTGCATCCGCCAGGAAGGAGAGTTTCAGTATTGTGCCTACTTTCTCTCAGGAAGGCACAGCCACTGGTTAGGTAGGTCTTGGCCTTTTCATACTCAGCCTGCCTCTCCTTCCTGCCTGAGGTCCTGACCCCTGACAATCACAGATATTCATGAGGACCAGACAGAGAAGCCTGGGGGACCACATTTGACCCCTGGGCTTGAGGTTCCCCACTCTTAGGATAGATGGTGGTTTCCTCTTGCTCTCTCTTTCCTTGGCATGTGTGGTCCTCAGGAAGAAACACTGCTTTTCCTTTCCTTTGTACTCTGTTGTTGCAGTCTCTTTTCTGTCTGTTTTATGGGGCTTGGGTTCCTCTGAAATTTGGAAGGCAACCAAGAGTTGGTATCCTTAGAGTCTGAGAGCTAAGAATGAGGCTGATAGACCCTGACATCATCCTGCCCTGGTGCTGAAACATAATAGATTTCAGCCAGCCGCTCACAGCATCACTTTCCAAGCAACAAAGAGGACAATCAAGAAGATGCTTACGGTCCAACAGTGGATTGTACAACTGCACCAGTACTGCAATGGAGACGGATGCCATTGAGGGAAGTATCATCATCAGTCAATCCTTGTTTTTCCTGTACCTGGTGGAAAAGAGAGAAAGAGACTGCAATAAAGCTGTTTTTGCAAGCTAGGACTCTGTTTTATATTCTTTATTGAAAAATAAAAAGTACAAAATTACAAGTGCACAGAGTAAGACCAGGCACAAAAAATAAAAATAAAAAAGAAATAGTACCCATGTAGAAAACAAAACAAAACAAAAAGATATTGTGTATGTTACAAAATGGGAGGTTGTAACTGTAGTTAACCAAATTAGGACTCTGACAACACTCACATTCAGACTGCGTCTGCAGTCTGAATTTTCCAAAGTACTAGCTTGCAACCTAAATAAGCAGTTATCTGTTCATAATTACATGTCCCTACTTGTTGGGAAGCGGGTCGCCCTGTGGGTTAAACTACAGAGCCTAGGACTTGCTAATCAGTAGGTAGGTGGTTCGAATCCCCGCAATGGGGTGAGCTTCCGTTGCTCGGACCCTGCTCCTGCCAACCTAGCAGTTCAAAAGCTCCTCAAAGTGCAAGTAGATAAATAGATACCGCTCTGGCGGGAAGGTAAACGGCGTTTCCGTTCACCGCTCTGGTTCACCAGAAGCGGCTTAGTCATGCTGGCCACATGACCCGGAAGCTGTACACCGGCTCCCTAGGCCAATAAAGAGAGATGAGCACCACAACCCCAGAGTCAGCCATGACTGGACCTAATGGTCAGGGGTCCCTTTACCTTTACTTGTGTACAAGTATTACTGGTTATGGATTGAGATTTACATTCCCCACTGCATCAAAAGACAGTAGCTTTTCGATGCAACCAGTCCAATGGGCCCCAAGTTGTTGTTGTTTAGTCGTTTAGTCGTGTCCGACTCTTCGTGACCCCATGGACCAGACAAGCCAGGCACTTCTGTCTTCCACTACCTCCCGCAAAATAATAATAATAATAGGAATAATAATAATAATAATAATAATAATAATAATAGGGAAAAAATGATCTTGCTAATGACTGGCTAAGGCACCCTCAATCCCTCTCTTATGTCTTCATATGCTACAGCAGGTTTTCTCCAGTTTGTGAAGTTAGGGTTGCCATATTATTTCAAGAAGTAAGAATCCAAACACAAAAAGTTGTTGAGCTTTTTAGGGGAAAGTTGTTGAAATCCTGGACATGTCAGGAAAAATCTGGATTTATGGCAACCCTTCTAGAAAACACCAGAACTTACCTGGGTTACTTCCACACTAACCGTTTAGTCTGTATTTTCCAGTTGGACGCTCACTTTTCAGGAAGATAAACCTGACCACAATATTGCCAGCTCACTGCACTCCAAACTTTTCTGTATCCCTTTTTTTTTTTTTGGAAATAATTTTTATTAAAGTTTTAAACAAAGAAAAAAGAAAAAACAACACACACAGAAAAACAATACAAAATTTAACAATAAAAACACAAAACATAACAATTAAAAACAAACTCTCTTTTCCATTCCCAATTTTAAATTACTTATTTTCTGGACTTCCTCATACCTCCCTCTTTTGTATTCCAATCTACATTATTTGTCCAGCAGTTTCTTTTCCACTTTTTTAAACCCAATCTTTAATTTAGTAAAATATTAAAATATATAGCTTCAACTTTTTTTTAAACATGATCCTTGTTCTTAATGTCATATACCTTTAAATTTTTCCCTTTTATTATCAAATTTCCATTTCTTTAAACATCTTTAATCTTGATCTTTAATCTTAATCTATCCTTAGCTTTAACCTGTACAGCTGGAAACCACTTATTTTCAATCCAACATCACTCTAACATTCCTTAATTTTGCAGTGTTTCTGAAGATAGTCTTTGAATTTCTTCCAGTCTTCCTCCATCGACTCTTCTCCCTGGTCACGGATTCTGCCAGTCATTTCCGCCAATTCCATATAGTCCATAAGTTTCATCTGCCATTCCTCCAGCGTGGGAAGTTCTTGTGTCTTCCAATACTTTGCGATGAGTATTCTTGCTGCTGTTGTTGCATACATAAAGAAAGTTCTATCCTTTTTTAACACCATTTGGCCCACTATGCCCAGGAGAAAGGCCTCTGGTTTCTTGGGGAAGGTATACTTAAATACCTTTTTTAATTCATTATATATCATTTCCCAGAATACCTTAATCTTTGGGCACGTCCACCAAAGGTGAAAAAATGTACCTTCAGTTTCTTTACATTTCCAACATTTGTTATCGGGCAAGTGATAGATTTTCGCAAGCTTGACTGGGGTTATGTACCACCTATATATCATTTTCATAATATTCTCTCTTAAGGCATTACATGCCGTAAATTTCATACCAGTGGTCCATAACTGTTCCCAGTCAGCAAACATAATGTTATGTCCTACGTCCTGTGCCCATTTAATCATAGCCGATTTTACCGTTTCATCTTGAGTATTCCATTTCAGCAGCAAGTTATACATTCTTGACAGATTCTTAGTATTGGGTTCTAACAATTCTGTTTCTAATTTTGATTTTTCCACCTGGAAGCCAATTTTCCTGTCTAATTTAAATGCCTCCATTATTTGATAATAATGGAGCCAGTCTCGCACTTTGTTTTTTAATTTTTCAAAACTCTGCAATTTCAATCTATCTCCGTCTTGTTCCAAAATTTCCCAATATTTCGGCCATTTGACCTCCATAGTGACCCTTTTCAAGGCTTTCGCTTCCATTGGTGACAGCCACCTTGGGGTTTTATTTTCTAGCAAATCCTTATATCTAATCCAAACATTAAATAACGCTTTCCTGACAATGTGGTTTTTAAATGCTTTGTGTGCTTTGACCTTATCATACCATAAATATGCATGCCATCCAAATACATTATTGAAACCTTCCAAATCCAAAATGTCAGTGTTTTCAAGAAGTAGCCATTCTTTCAACCAGCAAAAGCTGCTGATTCATAATAAAGTTTGAGGTCTGGCAGGGCAAATCCACCTCTTTCCTTTGCATCTGTTAGTATTTTAAATTTTATTCTAGGTTTCTTGCCCTGCCAGACAAATTTAGAAATATCTTTCTGCCACCTCTTGAAACAGTCCATTTTGTCGACAATCTGCAAAGTTTGAAACAAAAACAACATTCTAGGCAATACATTCATTTTTATCGCAGCAATACGGCCTAGCAGTGAAAGCTTCAAGTTTGACCAAATTTCTAAATCTTTTTTCACTTCTGACCAACATTTTTCATAGTTGTCTTTAAATAAATTCCCATTTTTTGCTGTCATATTAATCCCCAGGTATTTAACTTTCTTAACCACTGTTAACCCTGTCTCATTCTGAAACCTCTCTCTTTCAAACGGTGTTAAATTTTTCTCTAAAACCTTGGTTTTTAATTTGTTCAATTTAAATCCTGCCACTTGACCAAATTCTTGAATCAGTTCTAAAACCCTTTTTGTACTAGATTCTGGCTCCTGTAACGTCAATACTAAGTCATCTGCAAATGCTCTCAATTTATAGTGTTTAGTTCCGACCTGTATACCTTTAACCAACTGGTCCCTTCTAATCATGTTCAGCAACACCTCCAGGACCGAAATAAAAGAAGAGGGAAATTGGGCACCCTTGTCATGTCCCTTTTTCAATTTTAAGTTCTTCCGTCACAATGTTATTTACAATTAGTTTAGCCTTTTGTTCTGAATAAATTGCACTTATACCATTCTCAAAACCTTGGCCTACCCCCATACCCTGAAGATTCTTTTCATAAAATTCCAAGAAATATTGTCAAAGGCTTTCTCCGCGTCTACGAATATCAACACTGCTTTAGTGTTTATATTCACTTCTAATTTTCCAAAATATCAATTATATTCCTTAGGTTATCAGACAAGTGTCTTCTTGGGAGAAAGCCCGCTTGGTCTTGATGAATCTCTTCCAACAGCACTTTTTTAAATCTCTTCGCCAAAATATCTGCAAAAATTTTGTAATCCTCATTAAGTAATGATATTGGGCGGTATCCCTGTCCCTTTTCTCCTCCAGGCCAGATTCATGGTAGTTTTCTTTTATGTAAAATGCCATTCACTCTAAGCCTCTCCAGTGTGGATTGACAAAGTGGCATGGAGACTTTTTAGAGCTATTAAATCTTTAAGCATGGCAGTCAACACTTCAAAGCACCTTGCAGACAGTAATATGCAGGCAATGGGTTCAGGAAGAAAGATGGAAAGCAACTTGAAATATATATATATATTACATTATTGTGACTATTCCTTGGGATCAGGGTATCAAAAAGAAGATATAGATAAGCCTTTACCTTCAGTGAGAATCCGTATGCATGTCCTTTGGGACAGAATTCAATTTTTCCCCATTCTCCCCACTTCCCGCCATTGGACACCATGAGGATTGAATTATAGCTTCGATGTTCTGCCTCACAGAGGTGGTAGGTGAGGAGCAAGAAGACCACAGCACTGGTAGAGAGATCCATGGCAGGTGGACTGCACCAGATCCAGCTGCAAAAACTGAATGGAAGAATAACAGCCTTGAGAATTTATTCCCCAGAAAGTGTGGTTCTCTCTCCTCTGCTCAAAATCTTCCTGAATCTTGCGTGTCCCCCCAGAGGGAAGTGTGATTACTTCTGTTTGATGAGTAAAACCAATTAATGGCTTTTCTGACTACACTTCTGATTTCAAAAGACAACTCAGAGTTGCTGGACATTGGGGCTAGATCAATTCCTCAAACAGAAAGGCAAGGCAGGATGGCAGGAATTGGCTGATGTAAGCTAACTAACTAATATGTGCAGCTTCCAGTTCCCTTCTGCCTTTCTGGAAGCAGAACCCATGGCAGTGGGAGACTGTTGGCAAAGGAAAAACAAAGATGGTTGAGGGTAATTATCCTTGCAAATTCCTCCTAGGGACAGAGGGGAATAGGCTTCACTCGCAGTTCGTCTCAGTACCTGGCTCTCGCTCCGGCATAGCAGGGAGGTGCTGAGTGCAAAAGCACTTTGCCTGCTGAAAACCCTCCAATGCCTCCATTAAGAAGCAGAGGTTCTCATGTTAATTAGAGCTTAATTGGACTAAAGTTACAGGCACACGCTAGAAGATATGAGATCACAAACTGTAGAACAAAACCAACTGCAACAACTTTAAGGTTAAAACTTGAGAGAAGACTTCACCTGGTGCAAAAGATGGTGTGGGGGGAGGGGAGCCTACGGCTTCTTTATTTAAAGTTTTCTTCTCTACATTTATGATTCATCAACCCTCCTCTGAGTGTTAGTTCAAATTATATTTGTTCAAGTGAGGATGGAAGAAATTGGATTATAGATATGGAATATAACATTAGATGGAACTGGGGGGGAGGAGAAAGGGAGGGAAGCTCTATTTTGCAAAAGATTTACGATGGAAACATTTAGAGCTAACTCTTCCCCATCCTTTATTATTTACAAAGTGAAGTGAATAACTGAAGGACTTGGAGTTTAATTTAATTGGAAGTGTAATTGCTCATATATCTTCAGTTGGAAGGGAGGATGAAAGGAGTCTGTGAACTTGCCAAGGAACTGATAAGGTTCATTACTGAGTCATCTGCAGTTCAACAGACCACGCTTCTACCCAAGCTGAGAGGAAAAATGGTAAAGATGGGTTATTTATTGGGACAGAGTGACTTTTGCAGCTGTTGTTAAAGTTGCAAAACAATGAAGCATGGGACAGAGCAACAGAGAAATTTCTAGAACAACAATGAGATATCAGTTCTGCCCAAGGCATGATGGATAACAGCAACAACCGGGGGAAAGAAAGACATACTATCTTACAAGGACAGGAAGAAAAACCACGGACAGAATAATTGCCACACACAGGAAGAACAAAGATATAGTTTAAATTTTTCACTTGTACATTTATAAATCATTTAATGTGTCAACACAAATAGAAATTATTAATATTGCAGTTGTTATATAAGGGATTATTGTTATTATGCAATGAAAATTAATAAGATTTTGGAATGGAGAAATAAAGTAAACAATCAAGCCATCAATTCTAGCACGTGTGGGGCCACTTTAACTAAATTACAATCATACCTCGGGTTACAGACGCTTCAGGTTGCGTGATTTCGGGATACAGACGCGCGAAAACCCGGAAGTACCACTAGATTGTGCTTTGCGCGTGCTCAGAAGTACCTAATCGCAACCCGCGCGTGCGGAGATGAGGCGCTGCGGCTTGCGGATGCTGCGGGTTGCAAACATGCTTCCCACACAGATCACATTCACAACCCAAGAGTCCACTGCAATTCGATATTTAAATTACAGTGGTGCCTCGCAAGACGAAATTAATCCGTTCCGCGAGTCTCTTCGTCTAGCGGTTTTTTCGTCTTGCAAAGCAACCCTATTAGCGGATTAGCGGATTAGCGCTATTAGCGGTTTAGCGGCTATTAGCGGCTTAGCGGCTTAGAAAAAGGGGGGGAAAGCGAAAAAAATCTCAAGACTCGCGAGACATTTTCGTCTTGCGAAGCAAGCCCATAGGGAAATTCGTCCTGCAAAGCGCATCGAAAAAAGGAAAACCCTTTCGTCTAGCGGGTTTTTCGTCTTGCGAGGCATTCGTCTTGCGGGGCACCACTGTATTGATATCAATAATTGTATTATAAACTGGTATTGTTATAATGAGGCTATTATTGGATTGTAAATGAAAACTAATAAAAATATTATGGGGGGGGGGGACTAAAATGTGCATTTCTTACCCACCCTTTGCCCATGCTAAAATGTCTCTCCTATGCAAACTCCCTCCATTTCTGTTTTATAGACTTGCAACCCTTCAAAAGAAATGCATATTTAAATACCCTGAAAGGTTTTGCGAAAAGTGAGGTACATTTTCACAAAAAGGGCCTAATACCAAGAGCAAGAATACTTGGCTGAATCCCCCACCCAGCTCTACTTCACCCAAGTTTGACTGTTGACCAGGCCTACAACTTTCTGGCTACATTGCAACCCTTACCTTTCTTTGCCCTCACTTGGAGTTCTGCTTACCGTCTCACAGCTGCCAATTACTCTACGGGCAGAAAGAGAGAGTCCATAAACTGAGTAATGAAACATGAACATGAGCAGGGAATTTAAAGGGTTCAGGACAATGAAATGTAGGCACTCTCTGTCCTGAGCAACACCTCCCATGCTCCACTGATCCATCATCGAGCAGAGCAAGCGGAGAGGACTATGAAGTCTTCCTGGTCCTGTGCTTACCTCACCCCCATTACCAGTGGCTTTTAGGAAGTGCCTGCACAAGCAGAAGCCATTTGCAAGGGGGGTGAGGAGAGCTATCGGAAGGGTGAGGACATCATTTCAGGGACAAAGACCAGGACTGTACAATTGGCTTTAGAACAGGGTTGGGCAAACTGCTACTCTTGAGCCACATGCGGGTCCTCAGCCTAATTGCCACAAGTCCTCAAGCAGGAAGTTCAGACTTCCAGCAAAAGTGATGTTACCTTTTCATGGGAAACCACTAGGCATGGAGGAAATGGGGGGGCAACACATACAGAAGAGGGTTTCAGAGAGAGAGAGGGAAAAGAGAGAGAGGGGAAAGGTGTCTTGTATCTTGATAACTGTAGCTCCACTGTGTGTATACTAGTTTTCTCAGAGGGAGAGTTAGTTCCCTCATCAATCTGCTGTTCACAAAACCATTCAGGTGAAGCCATGACAGTTCACCTGATAGAAATGTGATATAACTTTGTGGTATAGATACCGTATGTCCACAGATAACTAGAACGGCAGAATTTCACCATCAGCTTCATAGTACCCTTCAGACATTTACAGCAAGCCTCATACTGTGAGGTCTATTAGAGACCTGCAAAGACCTGTTGGAGGACACAAACAATCATGAGAAAGAAAGGCTAATGCAGAGCTGCAAAGTCTTTGTTTATGAGGAGTGGGGAGATGGTGGCATGAGGCAAGTGCTTCCTATCCGCATACAGCAATGACTATCCCTACGAGCCATAAAAATGGGCCAAGATATACCACACTTGGTGCCTTTAGGTTTGGAATATCAGCAAGCACCACTTCAGCAAATGAAAGCAATATTGCCCACAACTTTTGTTTGAATGGAAGGCACTTAGGGACACTTAGAGACATCACCTTGCCAACAAAGGTCCGTATAGTTAAAGCTATGGTTTTCCCACTAGTGATGTGTGGAAGTGAGAGCTGGACCACAAACAAGGCTGATCGCCGAAGAATTGATGCTTTTGAATTATGCTGCTGGAGGAGACTCTTGAGAGTCCCATGGACTGCAAGAAGATCAAACTGTTGGGATACTGCCAGGGAGATAAAGTCCATCAAGGCCCCCAAGCCGTCTGCCGGACGATCCATCGACCTCCCGTAGGCACGCAGCGACATGAGTTTCTAGAAAATATGTTGCCACATTCCAGAGCTCATGCACACTATCAGCAGATGCACAGCCAAAAGTTGCACTCAGGAGAGCATTATTTACAAGTTTATTCAGCGTTGATCAGAACACAGAAAAACATGACTGCCTGCTGATTTAGTGTCTGCGACACAGAGAGAAAACGAAAGCAACAGAAAACATAAACATCCTGTGAACAGGAAATACGCAGACTCTGTGACTCACAGCCTGCTCCCTTTTAAGGTGGAACGGAAATATCCTAACATCCTCCCCCTTTCCGTGTAACCTGTAGTACCTGTGGTTCAACCCAATTGCAACCTTTGTACGTAAACCTTAAGTTGTTCTCTGTTAACAACCTTAGACAACAGATCAGCAGGAATTTCATTTCCTGGCATGTAGGACACCTGAATGAGTCCTTTCTGAATACACTCTCTTGCACGATGTAGCTTAATCTGCAAGTACTTGGTCCTTTGCTTGCAACTCTCCGAGTTCAGCAAAGCCAAACACGATCTATTGTCTTGATACACTTGTACAGGACATTTCACAGAAACTCCGATGTCCTTAAACAGTTGCATCAACCATTCACAATCCATGAGTGAAAATGACAGAGCATTGAGTTCTGCTTCACAGGAACTTAGGCTCACTGTCGTCTGCTTTTGCACAGCCAGTCAAACAGAAAGTGGTTGTACATGTAGCATACTCCAGAAGTGCTTGTACCGTCCGTGGTGTCACTTCCAAAACTTGCATCTGCAAAGATTTCAAGACCTCCAGTCTTCTGACTGGTGAACCTCAGCCTGTAGTGCAAAGTCCCTTTCAAATAGCGGGCTATGCGCTTCAGAGCTTTCCAATCCTGAACAGTAGGATTGTTAGCATGTCTGCTAAGCAGGTTACAGCTTACAGCTATGTCAGGTCTTGAGCATCTAGCAATGAAATTCAACTTGCCTAGAATGCATCTGTACAGCGTTGTGTCAGAAAATGCTTCAGCAGTACTGTCTACCTGGTAACCTGTCACCATCGGTGTGTCTGCTGGGTTTGCATCAACCAAATTCAACCTGGTTAATACATCAGCAATTTTCTGTGTTTGGTGTACCAGAAAATTACCTGCTTGGTC